CGTCTTGAACTTGTTACACAAAGTGGAAGTCATTAACACGATACGGTGTCAAAGAGAGATTCAAACTTAACGACATCGAATTATGGTAACGACAGCTAAAAACTTATGCATGTGGTATTTCGCAGATTTTTATGGGAGGTAAAAAGTGAGACGTCCGAGGCAGCCCCTTACTTCTGCTATTTTTAGGGCATGTTACGCCATGTCCCCATTTACGAGTTCTAAGCATTCCGATTTACGAGTTCAAAGTGTATAAATATGTGCTGCTCGGGAACCCTTCCCCGAAAAAAAAAAAAAAAAAAAAAAAAAAAAAAAAAACTTAAAATGATAACTACTCGTAATTTACTTTCAGACCTTTCTTATAACTTTGAACAACTTCTTGAAAGTGGAGATAATTATGATGTTTTAATTCAAGCCGGAGAAAATCCTGAAATACAAGAATTTCGTGCACATTCAATTATTTTAAGTACTAGGTCGCCATATTTTCGAGCAGCTTTATCCAATAGTTGGGCGAGAAAACGAAATGGGATAATAATTTTTAAGAAATCGAATATTTGTCCTCATATATTTAAAGTGATATTAAAGCAAGTATTATATTCAAATTATATAATTTCTTAAGAAATTTACTATCTTTACCCATAGGGTATAATACCCGGTATCATATTTATATAGAGCCCTATATATATATTAAGGTTAGGGTTAGATTTAGAAATATGTGTGGTTATATGCAAAATTAGGTGCTGAACAATTTTACTTAAGACACCTACATATGGTTATCTTAGTAAAATTTTGAGATATTAAGAATTTTTCTTATACCGGGTATTATATATATATTTATATAGTATTTTCTAACCTTTTTTTTTTGTGTTAAAAAAGATATTTATATACAGCAAAAGTTGATTTGGAAACTCAAGAAGGAATGAATGTGTTAAACCTGTTAGTAGCAGCAGATGAATTAGATTTACAAAATTTGATAGAATATGTACAATCATATTTATTTGATAAAAAAATTGGATTCTTAACGGATAATTATTTAGAAATTCTTAAGATTGTATTTCGTCATGAAGAACTTTCAAAGTTAAGAGAATTTTGTTTGAATCACGTAGCAGAAGACCCGGGTGTGCTATTTAGATCACCAAATTTTTACACGTTAGATAAATCACTTTTATATTTAATACTTCAACAAGAAAATCTCGCTATAGATGAAATGGAAATATGTAAATCCGTGATTCAATGGGCTATCACTCAATCATCGATGATTATAAATATAGAGGATATTTTAGAGTTGTCATCTGAAGATTTAAGTGTTATAAAAAAAACATTACATGAATTTATTCCATTAATTAGATGGTTTCAAATTTCAAAAGAAGACTTTTCAAAATTTCAAAAATTATTCGAAATTATTTTACCACTAGAACTTTATGAAAGTGTTAAAAAATTTAATTCTGAAAAAGAAATTGAAAATAAATTATTAATTTTACCACCAAGAATTCCTCATATAGATTCAAAACTTTTAGAAGTAGAACATTTTGCAATGATTTCAAATTGGATAGATAGAAATAATACACAAATTTACAAGACACAATTTCCTTATAAATTTAAATTATTATATAGAGCAAGTGAGGATGGATTCGATGTTGAAAATTTTCATATATTATGCGATAAAAAGGGTCCAACCGTAACTATCTCAAAATTTGCAAAAACCGGAAAAATAATCGGTGGTTATAACCCATTAGATTGGAGACCACAAAACGAAACTATAGAAAATGCATCAATACTTGATTATCATAGTTGGTGGGCAACATCTGAGAGTTTTTTATTTTGTTTTGAAAACAAGAAAACAAATTCAGATTCACAATGGGCGAAATTTGCAAGAGTTGCTAGTGTACATAGTGCAATCTGTTATAATAGGCATTTATGTGGGCCAGCTTTTGGACCTGGATGGGATTTGGTGATCGGTGAACGTTACAAACACGCGTCTTGTTGGGGATCTACAGGATATCCGGGAAGCCAATTATTTTTTAATTCAGTAGAATGGAACGCAGTGCATCATGAATTAGAAGATTACGAAGTTTTTCAAGTTATTAATAAATATTAACATTTGATTTAAAGGGTATAAGTATTTATTAATGCATTGAACATTTCCTGTTTCTTCTAAATGATACGTAATTTTACCTATTATTTGTAATTAATGCTAACAAGATGAATTTTAATAACCAAACAAGTATGGGATTGAGTTATGAATTTCAAGGCAATTCAGCCTATTGCATTTTTGAAATAACACATTACATAATTTGTACAAAAATTGTAGAAAAGTATTAAAAAGTATCTTAAAATGGACTAATTCTTGACACTAGAGAATATTGGAGTATAAAATATTATTAGTTCTTATTGTGTGATCAATAAGAAATTTACTGATAAATGTTAATAGAATATAATTTTATTTAAAGACATGAAAAATCGGTCCTGACATATTTCGATTCCATATATAAGTAACTTTTAGCTCTTCACGAGTTAAAATTATTCATCTTATGAGTTAAGTAGCTAAATTAGTTATAGTTTGATGTACTGATCGAACCATATGCATGAAACAAATTTCAACGAGTTAGACAGCAATTAACTTTGCAAAACAAAAAAACAATAAAATCTCTATCTTTTATTAAAATACTGAAAAGTTGCTTGATGAATCCTTACGCTGTAAATAGAATAGAAAGCACTTCACATGAAGGAAGCAATGGTAATAATCCTTCAAATATTTCTTTCTTTCTAAAATCTAACATTTTGCCTCTCTTGCAGAGATTGCGTCCACCAGTACCGCCGAAACAAACGTTAATCCTGAAGTGAATTCTGAATCGAATGATTCTGTCTCTTACACATTAGACAATTCGGAAGTAGGAAACTTAATTGGGAACATGCCAGAATCTATCACTTCAGATGTTGAATCGTCAATTAAAAACAATGCTTCAGGAAATACTTCAATCAATCGTACACCAACTATAAAACTGGATAAAAATAACATAACTCAAATTGGCAATATTGAAAGAAAAAATGATGAGTCTGGCAAAAGTGTTTTTAAGAGAATGGGAAAGATCTTCAAGAAAAGAATCAAAAAGGTTTTTAAATGAAGCTGTTAATGGTTCAGATTTAATCTGCTTAATTGAATTATTATGTAAACCTAATACGTATATATATATACCGTATATACGCATTACTATTCTAAGCATATAATATACATATATAATATACATACAGTAATTTTCAATGCATTATATCTTTTAATAATTATATTGTATTATGCCATACAAATTAATTTTTTGGTTCTCATAAAAGTTTTTAATTGATCCGGAAACTCGGCCTTTCATTTTAAAACTAAAATCGCTTCACGTGATGTGTACCGTTTAGTAAACATCTTTCAATTGTGTAACGTGACGATCAACACGAATATTATATGTACAGTCGGCTCCAAAAGATTATCACGATTACACAAAGATAATATGCAAATCAACGATAAAATATTAATGAATACAACTGACTCTTGATGTAAAAAAGTCACCGGGTCCAGCCAAAATTCTTCTTATATCGAAACTTTCTTATATCAAAGATTTATAAAATTTCAAATGGAACTTGTAAAATCTTTCTTATGTCAAGAGCTTCTAATATCGAGTATGTATATACATAACCTTTTAGAGCCGACTGTACAAATTTCACACAATCCTTTTTATAAGGTCCGAAAGCGGAGCTATAATGCTCCCGATGCATGTGCTAACTAATGCTCCTGATGCATGTGCTAACAAATTCTGAATTGTGTTTGTAACATAGAACATTTTCTTAATTTTTAATGTGTTGAGTTTTACTTAAAAATGTATAAAGTTTCATTTTATAATTAATCAGAATATTTTATCAATAATTGGTATTGCACTAATCATATCTAATTATTAGTTGGAACGGGATTGCAAACCACCTATATATGCAATTTTTAGTTATTCATATCGATTTAGCGATTTACATATTTTCTAAAATTGCTCTACACGATTTACAAACTAAGTCAGTTGATGAAATGACAATGCGAAGCTCTCTATGTTGTAACAAAATAAATGAATAAATTTTCAAGAATGCTAAATCTAATCAAAAGCTTTATGATATATAATGTAAGAATTAGCATATATAATTATAAATATCGTGGCATTATCTTACATGTAAAAATATAAATATACACTGATCATTGCCGAAATCAATAACTTATTCGAATCGGCCGAAAAATCATCCAGCAAAGTTTTATCAGGTGTCCCAGAATTTATGAAAACAGCTGTAATGATTGGTATAGGTTTGGTAATGTTGGAGGATTTAATAGTATAGTGGGGTCGGGATTTTTGTAGTCTCAGGATTTTGTGTCGGGATTTTAGTAGATGGGGTTTCAGAAGTGTCGGGATTTTTGTAGTGTCGGAAACTCAAAACTTTACATGTATAACGAACTCGTTCTATAACAAGTAAAAATTCCCAGAGAACCAGTTTAACTTGATTAAGAATGATATTGGTTTTGATCTTAAATACTTTTGCGATTTCTAATTCTATTTATATTATTTATTTCAAAGTTAGAATAAAACATGGAACAATAAAAATCATATGAATAAGGCAAATTTGTTCCGCAATTAGCAAAAAAATTTATTTTTTCAATTTATAAAACCAAACACATCAGTAAGAGAAAAAAAATTTCAACCATATGGGCATGCATAAAGTCTAACCCTCAGTGCCCCCAAAAATTTTTGATGGTGGGTGTTTGACATGTTAATACATAAATAGAAATCCAGAATACGCACTCATTATTATAAATTTTTTACTAAATGCGCTATAACGGACCAATTAAAAATGATGAATTACGGTGTTCAAAATAAATTTGGTGTTTCTGTCTAGGGTCCAATTTACCCGATTAGTCCATATAATTATCTAGTTTCAAGTCTCAGTGGAGAAGTCCAAATATTATCATTATCTAAATAATAATCGGTGATTTTTTTTAATAATGATTGATACCGTTTATGAAAATCTTGAATTAATGACTACAAAAGAATAAGAGTCAGCTATAATAAGAATAAATAAGAATGCTTGAGCATAGATATTATAATTACCCGCAATGTCAACATTCTTACAGCTGACTTCGTTAGACTTGGTAAAGATGTAATTTGTTCCGGAATATCAAATTCAAAAATTGAAAAAACAACTGGGCGCATGTTAATTGGCCAATTAGCAAGGTATACATCAGCTGTAGTACCTGTAAAACAATAAAATTAAGTTTATTAAAAATTTTACATTAACAATTACTGAATTAGATATAGTTTTACTTACCACAGAATTGAATGCAGAGGATAGGCAAATCTGATATTTCGTATACAATTTTCTCTGGTAATGAGGATACTATAAGCTTGAACATTATAGCTATTGCTCTATGCAATTTTGACAAGTCTTTGTCTTTTTTTGATAATATTGATGTAGTTGCTGTTTCTACATAAATAAACTCTATTTTTCTATTAAATGACAAGATTCCATCATATTTTGGCTTTTTTGATGATTTAATTCCAAATAACTTTTGCGCTTTGCTTTCGACTTCACCACTATTATACAAGAACAAAATTAGCTAAATACAGCATAAGATAACACAACAGTTTTATTTAGAACATACCGTCGGAGGATACAATCATTAAGTGAAGCTAAGCAATCATCGAAAAATGGTGCAACAATATTGCTGTTATACCATCCTTCTTGTAATTCAGAACTATCTAAATTCAATATGCCCTTGTCTTGAAAAAGAAAAAAACTGAAAACAAAATAAATAAATATACTTTACAAAATATAAAAGACGCATAACAACCCTAGCATCGCCCATAAAAAAATGTCGCCGACGTCACTTGTAAATATAATAATTTTTAATTTGATTACTATAATTTTAAATTGATTATTCATTGATTCGTAATTATGGTCACGTGCCACGGATAAGCTCAATTTATCTTCATTCTTACCATATAACACAAGTAACGTCAACGACATTTTTTTATGGGCGATGCTAGGGTCGTGAAAGACGCATTGTATTCAATACTTACAATTTCTCAAACAAATGACGCAAATATACAATATCTCTATTTGGATTTTCGTAGTTAATAGTGATATTTGAAAGAGCTTTTCCAAGCTCTGATAATGATGTCTAAATGTGTTAATTATAAGTAATAATATCAAGGTATTTTTTATCTTTCAATTAATTACTTACTACGTTAAAATACTTCAAGGTTTCTAAAGCTTCTTTTGACACGGATCTTTGTGGTTTATATTTCTTCATTTCCGCTTCAAAATAAACCTTTACAGATGGTCCTAAGACATTCATAATCCTACTATCATTCAGGTCGATAATACCATAACTTAATGACGATTTTATCTTTGCTTTCTTTTCTTTCTCACATAAGCCTATTATTTTTTCTTCAATATCTATTCCACCGATAATTTTATAAAAACACCATGGAGACCAAACCATATCTATGTATTCATTATTAGTTATAAATCGCGGTTGTTTGCAATAAGGAGGTGGTGTCGTGGGAATTATTGGCTTATCAACTATTTCATTACTTGTATCGTATGAGATATTTGAAATGTTATAGTTGTGAGGAATTGTAAGAATTGTAGATGTTGAGTGAGACCCCACTTCACTACTTTCTGGATTGTTCAAAATATTTGAGATATTTATCATGCTTGTAGATGTTTTGGTGGCCTAAATAGCAGGGTTGAAGAATCAGGTCAAGCTTTAAAGACATTAATGTATTAACAAAAAATACAACTCCAACGTGAATACCATACTTTATCGTCTAAAAACGGATTATTACCGATATCTGCGATTATTTCTGGATACGAACGTGTCTTAATTTCATCACTTTCGATGTTACATGTTGCCTAAATTAAAAAAATCGTTAGAACTAAGTAAAGCAAATGGCCAGTTGCAAGAAAAATAATTACTATACCTTAGATCCGTCTAAACTCCCTAAATCTGAATTTGGGCTTGCGATCTCCGTCATCGGTGGTGTTAAATACAGTGTGGCAGATTCTGTCATCTGTGAATGACGGGTATTACTTTCACTCCTTATCCTCTTGTAGTATATCAAATAAATTCACACAAAATTTGTAAATACAAACAAGACAATATATCAAATCGAAAAAGGTCATGCAATAATCAACTTTGAAGAACTGATCATTACCGACTCCTTATAGGTACGCTCGCTAGACTCATTCAACAGGCGCTTCCTAGTGATCGATTTTTGTACCGCAAGGCACTGATCTCGGGTCTCTATCGACGCATCCAAAACATGACGGGTCTAAAATAGAATGAACTTTCAGGCATTATAATTAAGATTAGGCGTAATGAGGTGTAATATACTAACCTGTTCGAGACAAATCCGGTCCTTAAGTTCGTTCTTCATTTAAACAATGTTGTTAGAAGGTATAGAAAGTGTAGAAAGCGCAAAAGACACTAACTTTGAAAAAACTTACTTGTTCCTTCTCAAGCAATTCCCTTTTTTTCTCAATAAACTCGATCTCTACAAGAATATTTTGCCTCTTAGCCTGCAGATACCAAAAATTATTTATCCCCTTCGAATTTTTTTCATTCTAAAAAAGATTGAGTTAAATGATAATTAATAATCGTTGCATGTAATGAAAATATGACAAAACTTCAGAAACACCGGCGAACAAGCACGCAGCCTTTCCCACTGCCAGCACGCAGCCAACAGGGTAGATCGCACACTGCACATTAATCAACAAGCACGCAGCCTTTCCCACTGCCAGCACGCAGCCAACAGGGTAGATGATGACAGCACAGAATACTATTTACAATACTGCACCAACAAGCACGCAGCCTTTCCCACTACCAGCACGCAGCCAGCAGGGTAGTCGGTGGCAATATAACCTAAATAAAATACTATACTTTTTACCTGAAAATTCTTTAACATCTGTTGCACCTCTTTCCCAATTTCAGACGTTTTAGCATGATATTTGAGAATAGTGTTTAGTTCACCCACGTATCGATTGTGCTCCACTTCCTCTTGTCCCAAATCGCCTTCGCATAAGCGGAATTCCAAGAAAGTTTCAAGCGAAGGTTTCTCTGTTTGCTTCCAAAAAGCTACATATTTTCACAAACGACAGGTTACGCTATAAGTATTGTCAAAAAAGATCATTCCTGCAGTTTGCCTTACCACCATATTTAAGAGCGTCGAAACATTCAGGCAATAATTGCATTTTTACTTCTTAAGTACGTATGGCGAAAATAATGCAAGTAAATATGAACTGGACGACTACACGAGAGTCTGGACACGCGTCAATGCAGAATTAGTTATTTGATAAGCGTGTTTGGTTCAACCCCAAAATCAACCAATAATGATTGAGAATTATCATATATTTAAAATTTATTACAAGACGAATTTTGTAAGAGCGGCCTTTTTTAAACAACCTTATGTTCGTAAACATTAGGGTGGGCAATGTAAGTTTTTATGTAACCGATATGTATTTTTTAATCCTTACATATACATAATTTTTAAGAGAAATCGCTATAATATTTAAAATCCACAATTTGATTTGTTGACAATCATATCGGATCATTTCCTTATTTGGGGGTCCGCTAAAGCCTTGTACCCACGTGACTTTTTTTTTATGTAGATCACCAATCAAAATCATGAGATTTTGTTTACACGGATCAGCACGAAGAAATCAAAAAATCAAAAAAACGAGAAAATATGAAAAACAGCAGTCTAAACCTGTCTTGGTACATTAATAAAAAATGTCGGGAAGGAAATTTTACCTATATGCCTGCCTTTACCTTAACAATAAAACTAACCCTAACCCTAATTACAATTAAAACTTCGAAAGTCACGTGGATACAAGGCTTTAGCGATCCCCCTTATTTGGGTACGGTCTCTCCGGATACATGTAATACATGTACTCACCGCCCAAAATGGTTAGGGTTAGTGTTCAAAGGAAGAAGTTTGTTTGATTGGCTAATTTTATGTAGATCATTCATAGATCACGATTTGTTTTTGTAAAATCTGATTGGTCGATTAATAAATTACGAAATTACTATGAAAATTATTCGGTCG